ACTATTACAAGGAAATCAACTGCTATTTCAATACACAATTGCATAACCTCTGTAAAAAAACTGCAACTGCTATTTCAATACACAATTGCATAACCTCTGTAAAAAAATACTTGGACAGCTGCCACACTTCACCTTCAGCAAACTGGAATAATTGTATATTTTTTTTTGTAAAATCATGATTTATTTTTTAACCCAGCGATAATGGGAGCTCCCCAGTGCCATGCCAAGTAATGCTTTTGCCAGGATGTGTTCGGAGTTAAGCGACAGCCACGCCAGTCATGTATGTCGAGGGAACCTTAGAAACCCATGCCATTTGTTGTTCAGGGTCCCCACCTTAGAGAAACATCGTTCCAGATCAAACCAAAGTGTTTACAATAACCTTGATAAAGCACACCTCAGAGATAGACATTTATGATTAGCAGTGCATATTGATTGAAAATTTCAAGAAAGGAAACCCCAGACTTAGAAAGCCAGCCCACTTATTTTATTAATTATCATAATTGTACAACTGTACTAGCTACCCTGATGCTCCATATTTCAACAAGAAATAGAAAATCTGACTATTCTGCCCAGTAACATATAAAGCTATTAGTATACTTGGTAACATATGAGAAATGTAATTATCAACTGATAAAAACTGAAGTTGGGGGGAAAAAAGTAATTACTATAACTGAATTGAGTTAGATATTAATAATTGTCGATCGTGGTTCCATCCACTATTATTTTTTACTTTCTGCTTTCATGTTTGTGGATGGTATTCCATAATTGTTCCATTGGCTCTCGCTTTGTTCACCAGGGCATAAATGTCTGTGGCAGAATGGGTGAGGTTAAATTCCTTGTTCAAATGAATGTTTGTCTGGATAATCTATAAAATATTAGTGAGGCAGCATTGTTTCTTGTAATATGTAGTTTATTTCTACAGTACAGTTGTACCTAACATTCTAGAATAATCACTGTTAGACAGTCCAGTAATAATCTTCTTAATAATTATAGTTTTTATTTTGGCATTCTTTCCCCCTCTAGCTAGGGTGACAGTGGTGGTGCTCTTGGCAGGGATTTTCACCGAGGTCCCTTCACAGCTGGGAAGGTATCTTGCTCTGTAAAGGGGTCCTTGGACAGAATAGGCTAGTCCCTTTAGCTGCTTAAGAGAGAGAGAAGAAAAGACGCTAAAGAAATCTCTTTGCTCATTTGCTGAGGCATTATTTATTCTATAGGTAAAATGAAGCTTAAAAGAGGCTGCAGGCTTATTTCTCAATGAATGTAGCCAAGGCTAAGTAAGCACTAAGTGCATAACTTGAAGCAGGTGTCATTGGACATCGTGGCGTGAATGGGTAAATGAGGAAGCTTTATCTTGCACTGTAGATATGTAGAGAAGGTTTGCTGGGGTGGAGGCCATGGCAGTGCTTCTTTGGGTTTTGTTATGGAGAATTGCCCTAAATTGCATACAAAGTCAGAGGTATTTAGTACCTCTGTGAAAAGTGATAGCTTTTGTAAGAGTTAGTATGACATGTAAACCTTGGAAAGCTTGTGTGTTTATAGACATGGTGTAACCCCGATGTAACTATTCTGGATGGTTGAGAAATGGAAAAAGAGTAAGACTAGGAAAGAGGCTCCTTTTGTTGGACAGCATTGGAACGCACAGTTGGTAAGGAGAGGGCTGGCAGGAAGACAGGAAGAGTTTGGGGATTGTAGTAAAGTAAGAAACACTTGATAATTTTTTTTGCACTATGTGATTTAGGATTGTCTGTGTTAATACTTCAGTGAAATGACATGGGGTGGCAGGAATAACTTAGTGTGTTAAATGCTATATTAGGCATGAGTGTGCAATATGTAGCATGCCCAAAGCATAAATAACCAGGCATCAATTATTAGTCTTGCCTAAATACCCATCTTCATTTTTGGAAATATGTACGTCTTAGATTATTAATTGCTAGTAGTGTTGACTATGTAAGGAAGAAGTCAATAATGGTAATGGCAATAGCTTCTGATGTCCAGGATCTTAGAAAAAGCTTTTCCCAAAAATTCAAGGAAGACGATAATTAGATGAGGTTCTCAATGCCCATGCTTTTGTGGAATCCTGTGTGTAAACGAAGTCAGTAAGCTAAAATCTGCGAATAAGGCATGTATATTTACCATCCTGGCATTATTAGGTTAGGGATTCTGTTCAGATTCATGCATATCTGTATTATTATCTAATTAGGTCTGATGTTTAGACCATGTCCAGTATTAGGGTCAACTCTACTTTTTCTGTCAGTATCTCCTTAGTTATACATGTAGTTTCTTTAAGAAACTTGATGTATTTTATTTTATTTTACGAATATAATCTTCAATAACTTGCTAGCTGTAGTTGATGGTTGGATGCTGGTGTATTTGTTACTGAGAGCGATGCATCCTCCAGAGACAAAGTTCTAAAACTAGGGTTTCGTGTGAACCCAAAATCCAAACCTAACCGTTCTTACCTTCCATCTGTTCCTTAGACATGGGAGGCAAGATCCCTCTG